TCGCTAATTAAATCCAGATCCCGTTGTAGCCTCTCTGCTGCTAGATCAGTATCTGCTAAACCACCCAACTTGGTGTCGTCTGCAAATTTAACCAGTTTACTGTATGTATTGGTGTTCATTAATGTAAATTAGGAACAATAGTGGTCCTAAAATTGAACCCTGCAGTACCCCACAATGAACGCAGGCCCACTGTGACATTGTACCTCTAATAACTACTCGCTGCTTCCTGTCAGTTAACCAGTTTTCAATCCAAGCTGCCACAGCTCCTAAAATCCCTGCAGCTTAGAGTTTTAGCAAGAGCCGTTAGTGGGGGACAACATCAAAGGCCTTCTGGAAATCTAAGTAGATCACATCATAGGCCTTTTTCTGATCAATTTCACTTGTAGCTTCCTCAAAGAACTCAAGTAGATTCATTAAACAGGATCTACCTCTCCTACAGTAAATCCATGTTGGCTATCCCTCATTATGTTATTTGTATCCAGGTAATCTACCATTTTCACTTGGATTATAGCTTCCATTATTTTTCCAGTAATGCTAGTTAAACTGATTGGCCTATAATTTGCTGGATTACTTCTATCCCCTGTTTTGAATATGCGTGTTATATTAGCATGCTTCCAATCTGAAGGTACCACACCTGCAGATAACGATTTCTGGACTATTAAAGTTAAAGGTTGGCTAATAATATCCCTCATCTCTTTTAAAACTATAGGTAAGATGCCATCAGGGCCCTGCGATTTGTTTATTTTGAGTTTAGCTAGGCTTAGTACCACATCAGCCATAGTTAATACACATATTGGTCATAGACGACGCTGTATTCGTACTAATTGGTGGTAAGTTACTTGTGTTCTCTACTGTGAACACCTGTGAAAAATAATCATTAAACTCATTTACAATATCAATTTTATTTTCAATTATAAGGCCCTTACTATCCTGCAAATGAGTGATTTCAGCTTTTAGAGCTCTTTTGGAGTTAAACTATTGGAAGAAACCTTTATTGTCATCCTTAGCCTCCAATGCATTTTTTCTTTCTACATGCCTCTTGGATAGTCTAATGTTATTTTTTAACTCTACCTGTAGACTTAGATACTCCTGCTTAATTTTGAAATCATTAGATATTTTCCAATTGTGGAACAGAGCCCTTTTCCTCCTGACTTTATTCTTAATTTCCTTAGTAAACCACCTTGGTTGTCGTTTCCTAGATTTAGTTTTGCTGGAAACAGGTATAAAGTCATCTTGCACTTACAACAATGTGCTTTTAAAAAATTCTCATGCCTTTTCAACTGTTTTGCTATTTAACTCCGTCCAGTTTACAGTTTATAGCTTCCGTCTCATACCATTAAAGTTAGCCTTCCTAACATTGTGTACTTTTAATTTCGACTTTGCTCTTCGGACACTAAAATTAACCTCGAATTTAACCAAGTTATGATCACTACCGTCCAATGGTTCTAAAACCTCTAATTTTCCAATCCTATCCTGGTTATTACAGAAAACGAGATCAAGAAGGGCTTCTCCCCTGGTAGGAGTATTAACAAACTGAGTAAAAAAACAATCCTGTACTAATTCCACCATCTCAAGTTCATTTACAGAAGAGCCAGAGACTGTGTCCCACTGTATCCCAGGTAAATTAAAATCACCCATAACCACCACATCATTTTTATTACTCATAATCCTGATATCATCATATAACATTCTGCTTTCCTCTACAGCTACATTAGGTGCTCTATAACAAACACAGACAATTAGGTCATTTGAGTCTTTAGCATTGAGTTTTATCCATACAGCTTCTGTACTTTTATTTTTATCAGTGAGCTCCCTTGCCTGCAAGTTTTCTTTTTCGTATACTGCAACACCACCTCCCTTCTTACCTATCTGGTCTCTACGGAACAAGGTATAACCATCCATATTATATTCTTCACCATCATTGTCACTCATCCATGTTTCAGTTATTCCTATAATGTTGTAAGTGTCCGATGAAATTAAAGCCTCTAAATCATTAATTTTGTTTCTAATGCTCCTAGCATTTAAATACAGACCACAAATGGTAGGCCTTTTACAGTGCCCACTTTTAATATTTATTTGGGCTTTCCGTCTCTCCCCACATAAATTCGTAACTAACCTCCCTGCCCCCCCCAGTCCCTAGTTTAAACATTCCTCAACTACTTTACACATACGCCTCCCCAATACAACCTCCCTCCTCCTGGGGGTAGGCGGCTCCTTGGTGCCCAAGGGCCCACCTGCCTCCCCAGTCTCTTCCGGCTCTAAAGCTGGAAGCACCTGAAAGCGGTTAGACACTTCTAGTCACTTCAGGTGATGCCGCCTCTGTGAATTGTGTACGCCCTTTTCTACGTCTACGACCTACGTTCACCCAATAAGGAAGTGAAGGGTATACTGACCGCGTGTCTCCAGCTTGTCACTTCTGCATTTAATGGAAGGAGTTTAGCTGGCTGTTAAACTGGTGTTGGTACACACCGTGAGAACAGCACAGTGAAAAGACGATCGTCTTACAGGCAAAACAAGCTTTGTGGTAGAAGGTGCATATGGATTTACGGCATCATGCACCAAGACGATAAGCCAATGGCCCCTGCAGAAGAAAGCAGGCCCCAGTACCAATGCTCCGGGGAATTTGATCATGATAGACTAAGCTTCGGTGTCAGACTTGAGACGTTCGAGGTCATCGTGATCATCATCTAAGTCTGTGTCATCAGCCAGCATAGCGGCAGCCACAGCACGCACGAGAGATTATGTCAGGGCACTAGGTGTGGAAGAACTTAACGATCGGCTGGAAACAGACAAGCAGGATACGAATAACAATGTGACATACCCCCCAGTCGCAGACCCTCGCCACACAGCTGATGGCTTCATCATTACCGATCACAGGCAGTATACTTCCCCTGATAAAATATGCTAGCGGCATGCAACACAGCAAGGTGAAAGAAAGACAGAATCACCTAGTCCTCATTTGTATCACTCTTGGCAGAGAGAGTGCCCCCAGGTGAGAGTACACTCAACTCCACTTCAGCATCTAGAACTTACAGGTATGTTGGACTTTGCTAAATACCCGGCACGCCGTGAACTTGTAAATACAAGTCTTGTCCAGTTCGACAACCGCCCTGAGACGTTCAGAGCATGGAGGTCAGCCTTTCTTACTGGGCTATGTTTCTCCACAAAACAGACGTACAACCTTTCAGTGATGCGGAAAAGGGGTAGAGGAAGCGAGAGCAAATCCGGAAGAAAAAAACCATGAACAAAAGATTATGATTACTCAGTGAATCTGGCCCCAGATTCATTACTTTCAAAAATGCATGGTTCCCTGTTGCATGATATGTCCCAAGTTCTCCCTGATGTCACTATAAGACAGGACAACACTGATAATTGTGATATGGCTGTGCACAAATCAAATTCTGAGGGAGACAGCAGCATTTGTCATACGGGGTGCTCTGATATGGTGAGAATCCCAGAGGCAGAACCAGATTTGGAAAAAACACAAACAGAAAGATATATTTGTTCCTTGGCTACACATGAAAATGAATGAGCCGAACCTTTCAACAGTAGCTCCCAGAAGCCAGTGTCTGGCTCCAAAGACCTGGTTCAATGGGGAAACTATTGAGTGGGCCATCACAGGGTACATAGGTCAAGCTCAGGTGTTGGACTCTGTTCTGTGTATGCCCACCTTTATCAGATGGCTGCACTTTCAAGCTTTGGCCCAATTTTACAATTTTGTGCTGCTCAGAGAGCCTTAAATTTAGATACAGTCCTGATGCCCTTCAATACTGATGTGCAAGATCCTGGTTCCCACTGGCTTCTTGTTGCAGCAGATTTCACAGAACAGGAAATTTGCATATTCAATTCAATCCACAGTTCTGAAATGGCAAGAACCACAAAAGTTGTGGCGTGCATTTACATGGCAGCTGGAGAAAATTTTCGGGCATCTGACTGGACAGTCACAGATGTCATAAAT